TCGGGCTCAGCCTCGCCGCGCAGTCGCTGCCAGCCCCTCACCGCGGCGCGGGGGCGGGCAGGGCGCCTGTGTGCTCCGGGCCGGGGGCTCCGCGGAGACCCCTCCCTCAGCCCCTGGCCCCGTGGCACACCCAGGCTGAGCCCGGCCCCGTCCACAAGTGTGGCGTGGGGCAGCAGGCACCTTGCAGGGTCTGCCCCAGCCTGGGCTGCACTGTGGCTCTGGGCATGGGGGGGCACAGGCTCCGGCTGGCCCTGTGCCCGGGTTGCAAGGGCCCATCGCTGGCCGGCAGTGCTGCAGTGAGCAGGCCGCTGCACAGGCACTGCCTGACCCGTTGCCAGGCCTGTGCTCCCGGGTCCCCTGTGGCCCATGCTTCTCCCCCCAGCCCCTGCGACCTGGAGCCGCTGCTCACCCACCAGGGCCCTGTCCGGAGACCCCCAACATCCCCAGAGCTGCCGGCCTGGCCGGAGCCCCTGGCTGCACGAATCACACCCCCCCAGCCTGTGTGCACACGCATTGTCCCTCATGCACAGCCGACAGGTGCCTGCACATGCATGCACACACATGCATGCTACCTTTCACATGCAACCTACAGTACCTGCACATGCATGCACGCGCACACACAAACCCACATGTTACCCCCCACAGGTGCTTGCACATGCATACACATGTTATCCCCATGTACAATTGACACACGCGCACACAGACAAATGCACGTACACATACTGCCTGTACACAAACACGTGCACACACACACTACTCCTTACACGCAATCTACAGGTGCCTGCACACACACACGCAAACACGTTACTCCTTACACACAAAGTAAAACAATGTACAGGTGCCTACACATACACACCGCCTGTGTACGTACATGTGCATACACACATGCACACACTACCCTTCACACGCAACTTACAGGTGCCTGCACATGCATACAAACACACACACAGACACACACACTGCCTGTGCACATGCACGCACACACATTACCCCCACATACAATTTATAGG